CTAACAGTACCACACTGCTAACAGTACCATGCTGCTAACAGGACCACGCTGCTAACAGAACTACACTGCTAACAGAACCACTCTGCTAATAGGACTATGTTGCTAACAGTAACAGTGTTTTTATAACACTATTTAATTGTTTCCATTGTTGTCTGTACTTTATATGTTGCCTGTCTAAAAAAAGGTCTCTCTTGAAAATAAGTCCTTGTGACTCAATGAGACTAACCTGTATAAATAAAGGTTAAACAACATAAAAATAAAATTTCCCTGGCATTATTCCTACACCTAGATTTTGACACAATCTCATTTCTGAGTGGGGTAACAATTCAAATACTTCTCTAAATGAGACGCCCCTTTAAGAAGCTTTATGCCATCCAGATATTTATTTAATTACAGCTCCTGCTGCTTCTCTACCCATTTTTCTGGGTCCAACTACATTTTCTCATGTTACACCCCATCTCTAAATTTGAAGTAACACCTGGCCCTATGTATAAGACACATGGAGTATTAGTTGAAATATTCCTCATCAAAAACATTAGACCTTGAAGAAGCCAATCATCAACTTTTGCCAGGTTCTATTATAAACTGATGAGGCAGGTTGTTGCTCTGAGCCTCTTTTTGTATTTTTTAAAAGAAAAAAGAAAAAATCTGAAAAAACGTCACTATTTTACCACTTAGGAACATGAATGAATGAATGAATTAACTTTATTTAAAAAGGGACAATGCACAACTCAAACATAAATGTCATCATTTGATGCACTGTACCAGATTATGGCAAAAGCTAATTTACATCTGCAGTCCCTTGACAAGTAAAAAAACAAAACAATGGATATACAAAGCAATAATAAAATAAAACAGGGTAGATGTTTGTTTTAAGTGTAATGGACATGCAAGTTGCCATCTAAGCAGTGGCTAACTTCTCTTTTCATGATAACCTGTTTAGTTAAGAACAGTCTTGGATTTTTTTTTTTACACTTTGCTTGAAGTCTGTCCCAGAAAAAATCTCTGGAGGTCCAGACCGCCCCAGTACTTTCACCTCCACCTACATCCCAAACTTATTTAGGACATCCTACTTCTTGAAGTGAACACTTCCAAGTGTGAAATGGGATTAGTTTCCCTTATGCTTCTTTAATGCTTACAAGAGGATTAAGGCACAAGCTATGAAAGTACTGTAAGCTTCACTCTGTCAAGATAAAAGAAAAAAAATGAACAAAAATAAACTAAATAAAGATGGAACTAAATTAAGAGACATAACTTCAAAAATCCTGACAGGGACATTCGATGCAGAGAAAAATGCAGCAACTTCATGTGTGGATTTAAACCTAGAAGATTTCCTGCTCTTTCTGTTGTTCTCTGCTACAAGACATGAGCGTTACGTAACAGCTAGAGAAACACAGAGAGGGTGGTGGGACTGTGTCATAACTGGAGCTATTGTACCTCCAAACACTCCAGAGCTATGTCATGGAAGTCAACTGAAGTGATAAAACACAATTTAACTGAGCAACGAGGTTAGCCTTGCCTAATTAAGAGCACATTCGGTGTCATTGTAATTACTGTGTGCATAAAGTTGATTGAGAATTAAAGATAACACGCACATCACTTTCATGAAGTGCCCAACTATTTAAAGAACGCTGGGAGAGCTGAAACAAAAAGTAGTGACATGATTTATGAGCTCAAACCCGACACCAAAATGCCTCTTTAAAAGCCTAAAAGAACTATCGGGACCTAATCATGTCCTTCTTGTTGTAGCTTCAGTAACTCTAAAGTTCATTTCTCTGCTAAAATATGCAAAGCAGGTGTGACAGAGGAGGGAATGGCGAGTCGTGCAGATGTTGTGCCTCTGTAAATTTGGTGAGTGGCAGCGAGCGCAAGACAAAGACTTGATTCTCCTGACACATTTCAGTTATGGAAACTCAAAGCGCACCTGCAGCTGGAAGCCCTGTAACTATGTTTGGCTGCTCCAGTGACTGGCAGACAGGTTGATCACTGAAAGCACTGGTGTGGAGAGATCGCAGGAAGGGAGCAGAGCTGCTGCTCAGATAGTCTGCTGTCTTGTAATCAGCCACGGAGCTATCTGACAGCACGGTCACATTCAGCTCTCTGGATTGGAGACAGTCAAACACCTGCAAGAGACAAAAACGTACACACTGAGACCAACAATTCATGTTTTCTATAACATTAATAAATGTAAAACCTATAGTTCCCTTGTTGTTTAAAAATAACACAAATCACCAGGATGTTTAGGCCAAAATCAAACTATGTCTGTATATGGCAAATGACTGACTCGGACATTTGTGGGAGCAGCCGACATTTTTCCAATTTGCAAATGTCAAGTTTGGAGAACTTGTGCCTATTATAACCCTATTTATCTTTTCTATGCTGACTGGAGTGAAATCTGTCATTGCATTTGCTGCTGTGGCAAATCAATTTGAAGGTTGATTGTGTTCAGAGTGTTTTCCCATTCGAAAAACGAGCTCATCAAGCACCAATCGTTTAGATCTCCATTATCCTGTTTGCTCTAAAACAACAAAAATCCTAACAAACCTTTGTTATGTCAGAATGCTGCAAACTAAACAGCTAGATATGTCTATTTGCGTGTTATAATCAGTATTATAATCATGCTGTGCATGTTTTTTTTTTCTAACACATGGGGAACTGACAGATTCTAATTAGGTCCTCATGTTGCCACATTGTTGTGGCTCACAAAAAAACAGTGCAAAGCTGTAAATCTGCAGACTTGGAAAGGCGAATTGTCCCTACAAATGAACAAATCAACATCTCATCAGACTGATTGAAGGTACCTTTTCAGCCCACTGAAAAAGCTGGTCTTCTGCAACGTAGCAAGTCACTTGGCAAACAAAAACCTTTGGGGAAAGCAAATATTTATTTCATATATATTTGTTAAAACGTGTTAAATATTTACCTGTCTAAATAAAGATTGAATGAATAAAGACAAGAATAATGACAAAACGTGCATATTTCCATTTATAAGACAGTAAAAACAGGTGTTTTCATGCAAAATGCAGAATAGAAACTGAGAAAGGACTTCACACAATGGGAGTAAAATTCTGATGTTTTAGTAAAAAAATGTGTCTGAAAGGACTGAGCAGATACTTAAGAGTCACAAAATAAGAGACGACCAAAACAAAGTGAAACTACAGAGTGCTGAATGACTGCTGAACAAGCTGAAACTGAGGGGGTTAAAGATTAACAAGGATAATACTAGCTAAAACCTAAAAGGTTATAGCTAGGTCAAATTTAAAACAAGCAAAATGGTAGCTTAAACCCAAAGGCAGCATAACACAAGCTAAATTAGTAGCTAGATTAATAGGAGACTAGCCAAAAGTGGCAAAACCATAGATAAATGTTAAATTTAGTAAAATGCTAGTTAAAAGCAGCACAAGGTAGGCCAAAAGCTTAAAGTAGCAAACACCAGCTAGAAGCTAAAAGTAGCAGAAGGCTAGCCAAAAGCAGCAAAACACCAACTAAAATTAGGAAAAGGTTACTGAAAAGCTAAAAGTAGCAAATGCTAGCCATAAACAGCAAAAGTCTAGCAAAAACAAAGTAGTTAAATGGTAGCTAAAAGTTAAAATCTGCATAAAAAGACTAAAATAAATTGTGCATGTTGAAGTGGATTTTAAAGTGAACAGTACTTTTAAAGGAATTGAAGGAATCAACATGGTTAAAATATTTGGTGTTAAAAGTTAATAAAATAAAATCATAGCTTCTCCCATCTACTGGATGAGCTGATAATTAAATATGAACGGCTAACAGCACAAAGCGAACAGAAGCAGTTTGACCTACAAACTGTGTATTGTTTTTATGCTATTAGTGCTTAGCATATTTTGAGTTAATGTTTTTCTTAGTTCATATCTTAGATCTTACTACTGTTTTTATTTTTACATTTTATTGTTGGATGTAACTGGGACCCTGTGTACACAGTTTCGTTCCACCACATGTACCACATGTAATGGGAATGACAAATAAAGAAACTCTGACAACAAAAAAACCCCACTGCTCATTAACTGATTTTCTGACCATTAACCAAATACCCAAAACAGAAGTAAATAAATGAACTTTAAACAATCGCAGCCTCCTTTGTCCACAGCGGCTCATGTGGTCCTTCAGTCTGTACAATCTCAGCAGGCATCAGGACACGTGTGATAAATCTGGAGCTTCCAAAGCAGCGCGGCGCTTTCACATGCGGTCATCCACTGCATCTATTTTGATGAAATAAAACGTAGACGACGACGCCAGACTAATAAAACAGAACCGCACACACCTCCACGGGCTGCTTGTTACTCTGTATTTTATCCTGTGTGGAAGGTTTATTCTTCAAATCCATTAAGTAATTTGTGTTGATTACCTCCAATTAAATGATTATGTATTATGTAATATGCAGCAAAACAACAGAACATGCACCTAATTTAAACATCTTAAACAGACGGAGGGATTAAAGCGTGGACGAGGAGCAGATGTTCTCAGCAGACACGTGTTTTCTGAGGTGTTAATCAGCCGCAGGTATATTTTGAAGTGTTGCTTTTCTCAGTGTGTCACTCACTGACGGGTTGTCCTTGTGTCTGTAGAAAACACATGCCGACTCTTCGCTGGTTTGGCCAGTTCCGGCTCGGCTCCTCTCGTTCCACACCAGCGCACGTCCGACGGCGTCCCAGTTTGCCGAGGCGAGAACGTGCGCTGACAGAAAACCTGCGAAGACAGATCCTGTCAGTATTCAGCAGCTCGAGTGACTGCAGAGGCTCTTTTTCACTTATTTATTTAATAAATTGACAAGTTCTGCTTTTATTTTAATCTGTGACATCAGAGACAACATGTCAATTCATTCTTGTCAAAAGATATAAGACAACAATGAGTAAAAATTATTGGAGATTAATTATTTAAGCAATTTTATATAAGCCTCAAGCAGGGCATGTGTGGGCTTTAAGTCTTGTTTTGTTCAGTGTACTAAAATTAGCAATAGTTTGGCTAAAAGCAGCAAAACACTAGCTAAAAGCAGGAAAAGGTGAGCAAAAAAAAGCTAAAAGTAGTAAGGACTAGCTAAAAGAAAAAAATGTTAGCTAAAAGTGGCAAAAGGTTAGCTGAAAGCTAAAAGTAGCAAAGTCAAGCTAAAAGTAGAAAAGGCTAGCAAAAGGCTAGCTAAAAGCTAAATCTAGCAAAAGACTACCAGTAATTAAAATTGGCAGAGGGCTAGCTAAAAGCAGCAAAACACTTGCCAAAAACAGGAAAAGGGCAAAAGATTATCTAAAATTAGAACAAAATGCTTGCTAAATGTGGCAAATGTTAGCTGAAGTCTAAAATTAGCAAGGGCAAACTACATTTAGAAAAAGACTTAGCTAAAAGTAGCAAAGGCTTCCTAAAAGCTAAATCCAGCAAAAGACTAGTAAAAGGTTAAAAGTGGCAGAAGGGCATCTAAAAACCAAAGCACCATCTAATAGTAGAAAAAAGTTAGCTAAAAGTATCAAAGACTAGCTGCAAAAGGCTAAAACTAAATATAGCAAAAAGCTAGCTAAAAGCAACATAGGATTAGCAAAAAGCTAAAAACAGCAAAGGCAAGCTAAAATCTAAATCTAGTAAAACACTAGTGGTAGTTAAAATGTAACAGTAGCAGAAGGCTAGCTAAATGCAGCACATTGTATATTTGAGTACTTACAAAAAATACATTTCTCTCTTACATTTTTATAACTTTTATAGAATTACATGATTCCTGGAATATTTAGAAGCAATATTTAAATTATCTGATTATAAAAAATTTGTTGTAGTCCTGCAGAAACAGAATTATCTTAACGTCTTATCACCATATCCTGCAGTTCACAACTGATATTCATGGGTTGAAGTTAAAAATGTACTTTTGAGCAGTACACTTGTGGACTTGACTTTGTTACAATTTGCAGACTCTGAACTCTGATTTGATCTGTAAAAACACTGGCTGTGCAGTTTGAGGGTGCTGTGGCCGACATGAGTTGGACGTTACGGGCAGCGTTGTGGCCCACGGCGAGGATGAAGTCTGAACACAGAAACTTGTTTCCGCTCTGCAACGACTCGGAGGCGTCGGGACTCCACTGCAGTTGAACAGTCCTGAAAGATAAGATTTTAAAGAATTCTTGTTTTAAATTTCACCAGGAAATTAATTATTTTTAAAAGCTTATTTTCCTCATCAACCATTATTCATTCAACCTCATTGAGCCACGAGGATTCATTTACAAGAGGGACCTGTTCCTACCATCTATGGCTACTACCAAAGGTTAAACAGATATCTGGAACTCAAACTAAAACGGATAAAAGTGACCGAACTATAACTTGATTTGAACAAATCATTGTTATTCAAAGGGTTTGTGGCATTTCATTTGAAAAAGATCAGAAAATCAATCGTGTAACTCCATCCATCCATCCATTATCTTTACCCGTTTATTCCATTTTGGGTCACGGGGGTCGCTGGTGCCCATGTCCAGCAATCACTGTGCGAGGGGCGGGGTACACCCTGGACGGGTCGCAAGTCCATCACAGGGCCACATAGAGACAAACGAGACAAACAACCATTCACACTCTCACTCACACCTAGGGACAATTTAGAGTTACCAATCAGTCTAACATGCATGTTTTTGGTCTGTGGGAGGAAACCGGAGCACCCGGAGAAAACCCACGCATGCACGGAGAGAACATGCAAACTCCACCCAGAAAGGCCCCTGGACCGGGGTTTGAACCAAGGACCTGCTAATCGTGTAACTCTCTCAGAGCAATGCAACAACAAAATTACTCAACTACTTTTAATGACCAATTCAAAAGCCAATCTATAAAAGCAATTTCAACAAAAACACTGACATGGAGAACATGTTTCATGTACAGATTATTATTTCACAAACTGCCACAAGATAATTCTCTAAATACAAAAGTTTTAACATTACTATCGCTGATTCAGCATTTACTCAAATGTTTTGTGTTTTATGTCAGTGTACATTTGGTGCAGTCTGAAGAGTCTACTTTGACCATTCATGAACCAAAACCTTCAGCTCATTTGGGGGATCAGGGTTGTGATTTTGTTTTTTGTAACTTTTATATTATTGAAAATAGCTAACTTTATTAACAAACATTATCCCCATACACTGGGATTTATTCAACTCCTTCATAATATTTGCTTCAGCAAACTTAATCTATTTTTGTCTTTTCAAGCTACTTTTACCTTTTTGCTAGCTTTGTGATACTTTTAGCTAGCTTTTTGTTACTTTAAGCTACCAAAAAACTACTTTTAGCTTTTAGTAAGCCTTTAGCTACCGTTCTACTGCTTTTAGCTTTTAACCAGCCTTTTACTAAGTTTGGCTTTTAGTTAGACTTTTGCAAGTTTTAGCTAGAATTTTACTAAATTTGGTGCTTAAGATTTTGCTTATTTTAGATTATAGCTAGGGTTCAGATTCTTTTATCATTTAGCTAATGTCCTTCTTTGTAAGTGTTTTACTATTTTGCTTCTTTAAGCTAGTGATTTACTTTTTGCTTTAATAATATATATTTTAACAACTATATAATAACTAATATTCTTCTTCTTTAGGCTAGTTTTCTACAAATTAGCATTTAGCTCATGTTCAGATTATTTTAGCTTTCAGCTGGTAATATGATTTTTTTTAGGTTTTAGTTAGTGTTCGGCTGCATTTATCATTTTGCTAGTGTTCTGCTCCTTTTAGCATTTAGCTAGTGTTCTGATATTTTTAGGATTAACCTGTGTTTCTGCTCATTTCAATTTTAGGTAGTCCAACATTTTTCAGCCAGGTCATCTGGACAGTTTCTGTTTTTTTTGTGCCGTAACGGTTCACCTTTGGTCCGGAAGGCTTCATCAGTCAAGGAAACACACAACAAAACTGATTCTTCC